CTTCTTCTTCTTCTTCTTCTTCTTCTTCTTCTTCTTCTTCTTCTTCTTCTTCTTCTTCTCATTTTTTTTCTCCCCCTCCGCAGCTGCCAGGCAGCTTTGGGCCTGGTTTGTGTTCAGACCTGAGGGCAAGATGCCTTTCACCCAGCTCCCTACCCAGCATTCTCTCTGCCCTGAATGGACTGATTCCTTATCTTGACCATAATGATCCCATTGTCCCAGGGCTTTTAACTGTGAGCAGCCACAAATCCTCTTGGCAGGAAAGAAATACATTTTTGGTCCCCAGGGCTCGCTTTTGGCTCAGAGTCTGCAGCCTTCCCAGGCAGACTTCAGAGGTCTGCGCTGCACCCTGCTGGACGCACCCTGGCCCTTTCACCCCCTGTGCTGCCTTGTCGGGAGGTGCGGGAGGTGGGGAGAGGGGAGATGTGCCCTTAGTACACTGGGTGGAAGAGGAAGAGGCCTCTTGGGAGCAGCAGGGCCCTCCTCGACCCTCTTTCGGCCCCCACCACTTCCGATGTTCTTCAGTTCCAAGGACCTACTACCATCTGTGAGAACTCACCTCACACCCACGGACTTCCCCTAAGATATACCCAGGGGTGGGTTCTGGGTATCCCTACTTAAGGGGAATGCATGGGCTGAAGGAAAGGAGCTGTTGTATTGGCCACAGGGGCTTGAGGGTGCCATCTCCTCTACTCTCTCCTTACAGGGGGGAGACTATCTCAAGTTCATGAACTGGACAAAAGGCCAAATCCACTCAAGATGGCATGCAGGCACTTTGTGTTTTGAACCAGCACTGAGCTGGACTGTTTGAACCCAGCTCATAGATTTGATATAAAAAATAAAAGCCGCTGCCAGTGCTCCAGGAAGGGCGGCCTTCTTGCCAGAGCAACGTGCCTCCCGTCCTCTGCCCCCACCCTGGGGGGCTTCAAAGATCCGAGCTGGAGCTGCTTCTGTTAAGCATTAGCAATCCTGAGTTCTTTTGGATTCCTTCCTGAGCTGTAAGGGGATATCCGGATTAACTTTCCCCACTCCACTGATTGCTTGTCTGCATCCGGGTTAAGTATACTCACACGTGTCCGTGCGTGCTGCAGGTTGGGGCTGGCGGGGGAACCCGGGCATGCTATCCTCAGGACAGCACCCTGCAACCAGGGCCCGTTTTCCTCCACTTCACTGGGGTAACTTCAGGTCACCTTGCCTGAATGCTTCTGGAGGCTGTGCAGCCTTTATTTCGAGGCCCCAAGTCATATCTGATGTCATTCTCCTGGAGCTGGATTGAAGGCTCAGAACCTGGGCTCTCTGCATCTGGGCCTTCCAGAGTTTGTAGTTTCTGCTCCTCTCCCCTACCACCTCAGGGACCTGGGCCATAGTCACCTATAGGCCTCAGTATTCTCAATCATAGAGTCTGACACCTTTGGCTGTGCAAAAGAGACCCGGAAATGTAGAAGGCCAGGACCATAGAGACCAGGTCTACCCCAAGAATAGATAAAACTGTTGGCCCACAGCTCACGCGGAGCCCTCCTCCATAACCTAGAGCTGCATGTGGGAACAGTGAGGGCTCACAGCATCCCAGGGAGATGTGAACTCCCCACCTCACCCTCAAAAGATGTGAGATACAGAGCAAGGTGGCAGGTGTATCCCTATGGCAGGCTAATCACCAGCTGTTTAGCTGTCGCTCCAGGCACCAATCCGGAGAGCATGAACAGCTGCTCCTCTGTATGGGGCACAAGCCAGAGCCTAGAGCACCATTCATGGGATTAGGAAAGGAAAGAGACTAAGGTTTGTTGACAGGCCCAGTGGAGCTCTGGCTATATTCAAGAGCTAATTCCCAGGAGGCCAGGCTCTGGAATGGCAGGTCTTACTACACCCAGGGCCCTTGGAGCTCACAGGTGATCAGCTCCAGGCCACCTTTTCTGTGTAACAGACAGTCTGGCTGCCAGGCCAACACATTTCTGCAGAACTCACAGCCTCCTGGAGACTCAAAGCTCCACCCTGCTACTCCCCACACCCCAGCCAAGGAGGTCCCTGCCTCTTTAGCCTGGCACCCAGACTTTCTTCACAATCTCCTGTTACATCTCTCTTCCCCTACCCACAACCCCAGGATTCAGTTTCCCAAAACACAATTACCGGTTTCTGCAGCTGGCCCATTCCTGAGCCCCTTCCTCCTCTGTGGGAATCCATTCCCCACAACCTAAGTGTTGGTGAAGACCTGTCTAGAAATTCTTATTTTTATGATTGAATTTTGAGCCAGGGAACCCAAACCTTTTCTGGGTCTTATGACTCGCTATGTGGTCCCAGGCTGGTTTATTCACATCTCTGAGCTTCATGATTGTGCCTGTAGCAATATTCACAGAATCCAGAAATGCTGTTCTGTTTGAGCAAAGACAGATTTGGGATCACTGATTGCAGAAGGATGAGGGCTGCCTCCCTATCTCATCAGTTATCTAGCCTCTCTTCTGGGTGCTCTGAGATGCAGATTCTATCGTGGCAATTCCGAGGCCCTGGGCCCAGGAGGCCTCTCTATAAGTGTGTGGGAGCATCCCTGAGAACAGTCTTTTCCCTAGTGGGATCAACTGTCTTACCATGTATCACCCCCAGGCCCCTGGCTGTGCATTTGGACCATATTGGCATCTTATAAAGTTCTTTCCTCATAGCACCAGAGAGAACTGAGGTCTCCCTGATCTGCCTCAGCCAGCCTATTCTGTTCCTCTTATCCCTCCAGGCTCAGTTTCCCCATCTGGGCCTAAGCCCAGTACACACTAAGTGTGTCACCACATAGTGAGGGTAGGTAGAGCCTGACACTTCTGGGATACCACAAGGATCCACAGTGGTTGATGAGGCTTCTCTCTCTCTCTCTCTCTCTCTCTGTGTGTGTGTGTGTGTGTGTGTGTGTGTGTGTGTGTGTGTACACTAAAGGACAGCTTTGGCACTTCAGGCCAGAAAGGGACTGCTCTGGTGTCTGACTCAGGAACAGGGGAGGACAGGACTGATGGGGGTGGGGACATGAGAGAAATACAGGTGAGGGGGTCACAGCAGGGATCTTGGCAAGGGCCTGTAGCCCACCCGACTGGAGTGAATCAGATCACAGGTGTTGAGGCAATTCTCCCACCCCCTGCCCAGGTCCTGTTGAAACCTTCCTCCCAAGCTACCCTGGATGCTGCCAGAACTTGCCACAGGTGGCTACTAGAGCTCATGGGGTCCTGGTTTGGAGACAAAAGGCCTCTCAAAGTATTTTTTGCTGGGGACTGAGGGTTGAGCAAAGGTCGAGAGTAGATGGCACTGGAGGCCGTCTCTTTAGTAGAGTCTCTTTGCTCTGGGCCACAGTGACAATAACCAGGTACTGATTTGTGTCAGAAGACCTGGGGACTGTCCAGCTCGCTCTGACCACCCAGCAACTCAGCAACGGCATCTGGACCCCAAGCCCACCCCATCTGTGGGGGAAGACCTCTTGGGACAGGTCCCACCACCCCTTGCCCACTTCAAGAGGCCACCGGAAGAATACCCTGGGTGCCAAAACTACACAGAGCTCCCAGTGCAGACGCCTGGGGCGGAGCAGGGACGGAATGGGGTGAGCACCCCTGAGAAGCTAACTTTGGAATCAGCTAGAGGACCTCTATTCCTTTGTCTTGTAGCCACTTGCAGAAAAGAATTTTGGATCTATACTTTGCACATACCCAAAGCATTTTTTCTCATTAAGGAGACACCCTCCCCTACCCCCCACCCCCCCATGAAAGAAAGGCAGTTAGAACTCGGGCTCTCCAGGCACTCCATACCCTCCTGTGTGCCTGTGTAGGACACTCCTGGGAAGGTCTGAAGAGTCCCCTCACACCCTAGCTCAAGGACTGACCAATGCACCTGACGCTTAGATTACAAAGGTTTATTTAGAAAATGGTTTGGTTGTTTTGGCTGTCATTGTTTTTTGGCAAACAACTACTCTCGGTAATCGGAGATTGTCTGCACCCTCTCTCCTCCCCCAGACAGATGCCATTTTTAGGTCATAGGAAGTCAGCCCTTGCTCACAGGGAAGACTGAAAGGCTGGGGAGGGGAAGGATCCTTTCTTGCTGCAGTTGTCTGCCCTCTAAAACCCCTAACTTCACAGCCAAACTCCACAGAAGCCTTCTCAGGAACTGGATCCACAACCCAGCCACGGCCCCTCGCTGAGATAGGAAGGCAAAGGGGGTCTCCCTTTCTCCTCCCCACTCCCTGAGGCCCAATTGTCTTTCGCCCAGCTCCTGCCGGCCACATCAAACACCGTGCCCTGAGGTCCGGGCCACTCCTGGAACTTTGAGAAGCCACCCCTGGTTGGTCCCTCTGCCTGCCCGAGTTCGGAGCTGTCCGGGAGGTCAGCGCTAGGCAGCCCGAGGTCACTGCCTGAAGCCCCTTCTCCTCCTTCGGAAAAGAATGTGCTTGAAAGAGCGCCTGAAGTCCTGGTTGAAGACAGTGTAGATGACCGGGTTGAGCGAACTGTTGCAGTAGCCGATCCAAAAGAAAAACTTAAAGAGCGGTTCTGGCAGCTGGCAGGCCTCGCGGCAAATGCCGTACAGGCTGTAACTGAAGAAGAAGGGGAACCAGCACAGTACGAACACGCCCATGACCACCGCCAACACGAAGGTGAAGCGCTTCTCGCGCGCCTGGGCCACCTTGCGGCGGCACACGCTGCTGCGCGCCCGGCGCCGGCGCGACAGGAAAAACTCGACGGAGCGCGAGCTGGCCCGCGACAAGCGCCCCCCGGGACCCGGGGACCGAGAAGCCGTCCGGGCACCCTGCTCAGCCGCCAGCCCCGGCCCCGGTCCATCCGCACTGCCCATGTCCCCCTCGGCGCCCTCTCGCCGCCGTCCCCCCCGACGCAGCGCGCCCCGGCGCCTCCGCCTCTCCGCCGCGCTGCTCTCGTCCGGCTCGACTTCAGGGCGCGGGGGCGCGCAGTGCCCGTTCTCCCCCGCCGCCTTGCCCAGCCCGTTCTCGGTGGTAGGGGACGCGCCGTCGGGGCCGGCGGGGGTGCGTTTCTCGCTGAGCGTGCGCGTGCGCAGCTTGGCCACGCGGTAGATGCGCGCGTAGACCAGGCCCATGATGAGGCAGGGCGCGAAGAAGGAGCCTATGCAGGAAGAGAGGATGTACCAGGTCTCGTCGTTGAGGCCGCACTGCGGGTAGGCGGCGCCGTCGGGCCGGCGGTAGAACGACACGAGGGGCGGGAAGGAGATGACGGCCGAGATGAGCCACACGGCCACGATGGTGGCCTTGACGCGGCGCGGCGTGCGCTTGAGGTTGTACTCGACGGCCTGCGTCACCGACCAGTAGCGGTCCAGACTTATGGCACACAGGTGCACGATGGACGAGGTGCAGAAGAGCACGTCCAGGGCCAGGTACACGCCGCACCACACCTGCCCGAAGTACCAGTAGGCCATGAGCTCATTGGCCAGCGAGAAGGGCATGACCAGCGTGGCCACCAGGATGTCAGCCGAGGCCAGAGACACCAGGAAGAGGTTCTGCGGGGCGCGCAGCGCTCGGCTGGTCAAAACGGCGATCACCACAAGCACGTTGCCCACCACAGTGAAAACGATGAGGAAACCCACCACGGCCGCCAGCCCCGCCACGGCGCCCGCCGAGTACTGGCCCGGCGGCGGACCCCAGTCGGTCCCCGAGGCGTTGACACCCCCGCCGCTCCCCCATTCGCCCGCGTCGCTCCCGTTGGGGCCCTCAGCCGCCGCCACCGCCAGCGCCGCGGCCAGCGCCGGGGACGCCATGGTCCTCCCGAGAGCTACGCGGTCCTGCCAGGAGCCGGGGCGCAGCCGCGGCAGCTCGGGCGCCCCCCAGCC